AATTCTTATAGAATTTTCCAATCAAAATTGATTTTAAAATGAATATTAGTTAAAATTTTAGATAATAATTGAATATTAAAAGCATTATAGCATGAATTTTTAAAAATACATAATTGATAAAATACATAAAACATAATTGAATTCTGTCGAAGAATTTTAACAAACCCAGCAAACACGTTACGTAAGTGTTACATAACAAATAAAGCACCTTGTTATGTCTCACTGTGACAATATTGTTATGTAACAACTACATAATGAGATAGTAACAATATTATATAACACTGTTACTGAATGGTGATATAATAGTTACATAATTTTTTCAAATAACTATTATATAACTGTGTGATATATTCATTACATCACAGAGTGATAATTTTTGTCTTGTTACATTGTTCTCTAATTGTTACATAACTGTTACGAAACTGTGTAACATAACAGATACATAATTTTGTTATAATTAATAAAGTAGGTTACATTATTATATCACACTGTGACAATATTATCATGTAACCATTATATAATGAGATAGTAACACTGTTATATAACACTGTTACTGGATGGTGATATAACAGTTACATAATTTTTTCAAATAACTATTATATAACTGTGTGATATATTCATTACATCACAGAGTAATAATTTTTGTCTTATTGCATCGTTCTCTAATTGTTACATAACTGATACGAAACTGTGTGACATAATAAATACATAATTTTGTTATAATTAATAAAGTAGGTCACATTATTATATCACACTGTGACAATATTATTATGTAACTATTATATAATGAAATATTAACACTGTTACTGGGACGTGATATAACAGTAACATAGTTTCATAATATACGTATTATACAACAATGTGATACATTCTTTTAAACTGCACTTAAATAAATAATAGGCAGAATGTGTTTTTTACATAGGCAATTTCTTCCTAAAAACAAAAGCAATACACGCAAAGCAATTGCTTCCTTTTAAAAAGAAATTTTTGCTTTAGTTCCTAAGGTTAACATAACAAGGCAAATTTTAATTTGAATATTTAGAGAATACTATATGAAATAATAAATTTATTTATTCCAATATTCACAACTTATTTAATGAAGAGATTAAACCTTATAAACAGAATTAATATTATATATATATATTCATTTTTACTATCGTGAATATAATGATAATGTATTTTTATAGTTTATTATTTAAAAATTAAAAAATTATATTTTACATTTTTATTAATTATATGTGACGCGATTTGAAGAAAGGGAACTTAGAAGCAAAAAATTGTAGGCTATGTTTGCAATTTTTTAAATGAAAATACAAAAAAGTAACAACCGTCAATATAAATAATTGACATTTTAAGTCTTTATTACAACTAAAATATTTAAAAACAAATTATTTAAATAGCAAACATGTTCTGTAACTGTTACGTAACATTTCTGTAGTAATAAGAGCTAAATTACGTAACTGTTATGTAATTGTTATGTAACATAAAAGTAACAATGCTCTGTAACTGTCGTTACAAAATTGTTACGTAAAATTGTAGTCTCTCTGGTACGCAATAAAATTATGTAATTGTTACATAACTGTTATGTAACATGAAACACTATTTTATAATTATTGTTTCGAATAAATATTTTTGATTATAAATCTAGTTTAACTGTTTAAGTTTATTAATTTACAATAAATTATTATTAATAATTATTATCAGTATTATTTATTATAATTATTAATGTCCAAAACTTTTAAAGAAGTACGTAAAAGTAAAGTGGGGTGAAGAAGCCGACTTTTGGAACATTTTACGATATTTAATATAATATCACTCACTTTTAATTTTATTTAAAAATTTTTAACGTCGTACTCTGAAAAGTTTGTCTATTAATAATTTAAAAAATATCTTAATTTTTTTTGTAAAAAGTTGTCAGAAATTAATAAAGAAAAATTTTAATTTGAACAAATTTATATAAAATTAATTTAAAGTTTATAACTCTCAAATTTTATGTGAAGAAAAATAGAATTTTCAGAATAAAATAAAAATTTGTAATCCCGATTAGTATAATTGTAATCGTTTCTTTTTGTTACTCACATGTGTGTGACATTGTTATGTAAATGCTACAAAATTGTTACTTATATGTGTGTAACATTGTTACGTAAATGTTACAGAATTGTTACTGAACACTGTGACTAATGTGTGGTAGATATTTTTATTAACACGTTAATCGTATATTACAAATAAAAAAAAACCACAAGTTTGTCTTTGTTACGTAATAGTTACATAACAGTAAGTAACAGAATATACGGCACTGCAGTTGATATAGTAGATTAGGAGAATTCTCATCAAGCCTTCAGTGGCCGTGCGGTTTAAATGCGTTGCGTCGGGTCGTCAAGGGCGGGGGGACGTGAGTTCGATCCCACATGCGAGCGGATATTTTTCATTCTAAGCGTTATGTAAAATAATAAAATTACTATTTAATCTGTATATAAGTGTTGTGAAATGTGAATAAAATAAACTTGTGAACATGTTTATAAATAATATTAAAGATCTTTAAAAAAATCAAGTTTAAAAAATGTACTAATTAGTAAATCAGTTTTTTACTAAAATTATTTTTGGATATTACCATGTCAAATGGCATTTGTTATTATCTATTGAATAAAAATAATAACAATAATTTTCACGTAGGTCATATTAGTGATGTTACAATTATATAACAAGCTCATCAAATTATGTAACAGAATCTCATAATTGTGATATAATAATAAGTCACAACGTGATATAAGTGTGATATAACAATTATGTAACATATTTACATAACTGTGATATAATAATAAGTCACAACGTGATATAAGTGTGATATAGCAATTATGTATCATATTCTTCTAATTATGTAACATATTTACATAACTGTGATATAATAATTAAATATCACGCTGCAACATAATTGTTATATCACCCTTCTTGTAACAATTATGTAACTGTGACCCTCATGTTACGACATTTCGTGTCACATGTTCATATCATGTTATATCACGTGTGATATTCTGTGACATAACTGTTACATAACTGTTATGTAACAATGTTTGCTGGGAAATTTTTGAAAATAGTGACATTTTTCGAAGAATTTACTTAAAATTGTATTAAAAATAATTGAAATCCTGTGAAGAATTTTATTAATTTATGAAAGTAATTGAATTCTTGTAATGAATTTTTTCAAATTTTTTTTAAATAATTGAAATAATGTAAAGAATCTTATTATTTATGAAAATAATTGAATTCCTGCATCGAATTTTATTACATTTTTTTAAATAATTGAATTCTTTTGAGAACTTTTATTAAAAAAGTAGATTTTGAAAATATTTGAATTTCAACGAAGAATTTCATTGTACCTATTCGTGAAATGTAATTAAATTCTTACATAAAAATTAAGAGAATAATTCAATTTTTCTAGGAATTTACTTTAAATTGTATTATAAATAATTGAAATCCTCAGAAAAATTTTATAATTTATGAAAATAATGGAATTCTTACAACAAATTTTATCAATTTTTTTTAAATAATTGAATATTCATGTGGAAAATTTTAACTTGTAAAAATAATTGAATTTATGCAACGAATTTTATTACATTTTATTTAAATAATTATATTCTTTTGAAAACTTGTATTAAAAATGTAAATTTTGAAAATTTTTGAATTTCAGCGAAGAATTCCATTATTTGTGAAATGTACCTAATTTAATTCTTGCAAAAAATTGGTGAAGATAATTTTATTTTTCGAGAAATTTATTTAAAATTCTATTAAAAATAATTGAAACCATGTGAAAAATTTTATTATTTATGAAAATAATTGAATTCTTGCAACGAATTTTATTATAATTTTTGTAAATAATTTAATTTTTTTTTTTGAAAAATTTTATGGAAATTAAAATTTTTATAAGTTGTTGAATTTTAAAAATGTTTGAATTTGAATGTTTTGAAGAATTTTAATTCCTATGGAAAAATAATAATTAAATACTTATTTAAAAATTTAAATATTGATGTTTGCGAATAATTTTACAATTTAAGAAATTCGTAAGTAAATGCAATAGAAAGTTTTTTTGAGTATCTAATAATTTTTAGAGTGAATCAGAATATTTTTTATGGTCAGGGAAAAAGTGAAAATTTTGATTCTTCAGAATCGTAAAAAAAGCCTATAAAAAATTCGGCAATAAAAAATAATAAAAAATGTGGAAGTAGTTGAATTTTTTCAGTATTACTATAGTAAAATTTGAACCAACAAAAAAACCTTGAAAATTTCCTAGAAACCTTGAAAAAACCGGGAAATAGACGTGAATTTTATTTACGAGTTTTGGTGGCCACCCTGTATAATGTGTACGGCCCCAAACACAAAAGTTCAGAATTTTCTTATGAATTCTAGAAATTGAATATTTTTCCAATACCTAGAAGAAAATCCAATAACTTTAGAAAACAACAATTTTCCAGGATTCAGATCAAAATTCCCTGACTTTTCCAGGTTTCTGCAAGGTTCATAAAATTCCCTGACATTATTGCCTGAAGTGACAACCTGACAATTCTATAGCTGAGTCTCCAATAGGTGCCAATGTAGGTGCAAGTGCCAGTGCCAATCCCCAATACATTTTAAAAGCTGAGTCTCCAATAGGTACCAATATGCATGTGCAAGTGCCAGTGACAGTGCCAAACCCATTTAAAATGTATTGGGGATTGGCACTGGCACCTACATTGGCACCTATTGGAGACTCAGCTTAAAGGTTTTCCAGGTTTCGACATTATCGACACAATGATTGACAAGGATGTAAAAGTTTCTCCATAATTGACATTAGGGGTCGCTTTCGAATTTACAAGATGGCTACTAATCTTTTTTCGGAGTGGCGTGTAGATTCACGACTTTTTCCCGTGTAGGGACCGTGTTTTTTCTCATTTGGATATTAAAGAATAATAATAATAAAACTCAACATAAGAAACGTGTGGTATGTTAATGAAAAATTCTCCAATTAATAAAATTTGTAGGATAATTTTCACAATTTCCAATTGTTTATATGTGACGAAAAGTGCGATAAAACGTGTGTACATTTATTTTCATTGGCATCTCGAGAGTCCACTCCCTTAAAGTCACAACCAGGAACGCGTTGGCAACACTGACGCCTCACTCCAGATGGTTTATATCTCCAGTGACTAAACTCATAACAGTTAATGTGTTTTTAAAACCGGCTTTATACGCGAAATGCAAATTAAAATTACGGGTAAGAATAACCCGTTTCGAGAAAAATTTGTCGAGTGCCTGTTTTGTGTTTTATCAATGACTTTTTATATTCTTGTTGGTGTTAATAGGTAGTCATATAAGCTCTTCATTCTCGTTTCATAAGTTTTAATTTTGTTTTGTACTTCTTAAAAAAAATAATTGTGCTCGAGAACAACAGACAGTTTCATTGGAATTTCATGAGTCATGATTAAATGCGTGTACTATAGACACACATCTTTGCAATTCTTGGATGATGATCGTGATGATGATGAGTGACTCATTTTTTAAAGACTTGATGATTTAAGATCTCAAGTGACATTTTATCTTCTCGTTGATTATCTTTGTCTCACGAGTAGAATGCAAACGTTTACCTAGACGCGACCTAATTAATCGACATTTTTTCAATTTTTAATCACGTTTTGGAGTAAAATAATTCTATTCAATATATTTCTGTATTTTTTAGTCATTTTTTATAATTGATAGTAAAAATTTTGAATATTTTTCTATTTCAGATTCAGCTGAGATTATATTTTAGTACTAGAGACATTTTTTGATAATAAAAAAGAAAAAATAAATAAAAATAGGAACTGAAAACAATGACGGAGTATAAGCTCGTTGTCGTAGGAGCTGGTGGTGTTGGGAAATCAGCACTGACTATTCAATTAATACAAAATCACTTTGTAGATGAATATGATCCTACTATTGAAGACTCATACAGAAAGCAGGTAAGACAATTTTTTACAATTCTTTTCGTCTTTTTTAAAAGCCGATTAACAAATTTTAAATAAAAATATCAGGTTGGGCACATGTCAGTAAAGTCAGGGAAATGTTAGGAAATAAAATTTTTGTCAGAAAAATTATAAAAATTGATACTTTTTTCGACTTTTCTTCCAAATAGGTATTGCAACAAAATATCACATTTTTTAGTATAAAGTGCAACTTATTTCGATTTTTATAGTGCAAAAAATAACTATAAACAAATTTTTCAAAAATTATTTTTAGATCATTTTTTAAGATAATTAAATTTTTCAAATATATCTATAATAAAAACCTTTTTGAATAATTGAAATTTTGTACAATTTACAGGCTTCGAAGTGACACACTTTTCCACTTTTTTGACACTTTTTTTGGTCAAGCCTACTTTTTGCTACTTATTTTGTCAAAAAGCTATTAAATGCTACTTTTTTCTAAAAAAGGTAAAAAAAAATTTACGGAATACAAGAATTTTAGTTTTTTGGTGAATTTCGTAGATTTTAAAAAACCTGCCAAGTGAATTAAATTTATTATTGGACGCGTGCAGGCCTCGAACTAGGTCCGTAAATCCCGTAAAAGTCCGTAACTTTGCTTGAAGTCCGTAAAAGTCCGTTTTTTTGAAAAAAGGTCCGTAAAGTCCGTAATTCATTGAAAAAGGTCCGTAAAGTACGTAAATTATACGATATAATTCGGATAATTTTAGAGAAATTACAAATGATTGAAGGAATTCAATTATTTTCAAAAGTAATAAAATTCTTCGCAAAAATTCAATTATGTTCAAAAATTTTTTTAAATTCTCGTCAAAATTTTAGAGATAATTAAATTCTTCTCCGAAATATCAATTATTTTCAAAAATTTTAATAAAATTCTTGGAAAAATTTCAATTATTTTCAAAAATTTTCCCTAATTTAATTATTTTTAATATCTACTATTTTAATAAAATTTTGCAAAAGAATTCAAATTATTTGAAAATTGATAAATACAATTCTTTAAAAGAATTCAATTTTAAGAAACATATGTAAATATTCAATAAATTTTCAATAAATTGTTTTTTTTTTGTATTTAAATAATGAAATTCTCGTAGAATTTTCTCATAAAAATTGATTTATAAATGGATTTCAGTGAAAATTTTAGATTATAATTGAGCCTCCCAATTCAAGAACTCGCCCGACGCTCGGATGAACACTCTAACGCCAGTCAAACATTAAGAAAAGTCACAAAAATTAAAATTTGAAATTTTGATTTTTCAGAAGCACTACCTTGTAGGAAATTGATTAGCGCATCTTTTTTTCCTTTGAATTTTTTTCGTAGGATGAATATTGTCGGAAATAATGACGAAAAATGGTAAAATTTTGTTTTTCAAATTTCATTGCTTTTTAAAACATAAATCATCGTATCTTCGACAATTATTGTCGAATTGACTTCAAATTTGGTATGCAAGTCTATTTGGGTTCTGGGAAGACGATAAAATGATCAGAATGTAAAAATTTCCTAATTGTTCACTAATTTGTTAATGTAAATAAAGGCTTGTCAATTTTAGGTTAACTTACCTTCGTCGACAAAAAGTCTGCGGTGAACTTTCGAATTGAAAAAACTTCCAGTGAGACATTTGTTTATTAGTATATAAGGAAGTTTTTTGGAAAATATTAGATTGATTTAGTAAAAAATGTGGAAAATATTAAGGTTTAAAGACAGCGCGGAGAGCGCGACATCGAGTCGCGGCGTGCAAATATCACTAAACACCAACTTTATAGGACGTCAGTTGTTGAATTTGTTCTTATTACCTCGGTTATTACTCAGTTCTTTAAAAAAAGCATTAAATAAGTTATTGGGATATAATTATAACGCTATGTTTAACATTATAACAAACATAAAAATTCTATAAATAATAAAGAACTAGCAACAATTCGCGCGGCTAACTTTTTACTACATTTTATAAATAAAATTAGCAATTTTAAAAATAATAGAATTTGAAAACTTTCTAATTTAAATTTTTGTTGAAAACACTAAAAAAATTCAATTTTGGAGAAATTACTATGTACAAAATTTGAAAAAAAAATTTGTAAAAATCCCGATTATCTTTATAAATAACAAAATTCTTTTCCAAAGTTTAATTATTTTCCTAAATGTCAAAGAAATTCTTGTTCTAATTTCAATTATTTTCAAAAAATTTTCTAATAATTTTTGAAAATAATTGAATTTCTGCAATTATTTGTAATTTCTCCAAAATTGAATTTTTTTAGTGTTTTCAACAAAAATTTAAATTAGAAAGTTTTCAAATTCTATTATTTTTAAAATTGCTAATTTTATTTATAAAATGTAGTAAAAAGTTAGCCGCGCGAATTGTTGCTAGTTCTTTATTATTTATAGAATTTTTATGTTTGTTATAATGTTAAACATAGCGTTATAATTATATCCCAATAACTTATTTAATGCTTTTTTTAAAGTACTGAGTAATAACCGAGGTAATAAGAACAAATTCAACAACTGACGTCCTATAAAGTTGGTGTTTAGTGATATTTGCACGCCGCGACTCGATGTCGCGCTCTCCGCGCTGTCTTTAAACCTTAATATTTTCCACATTTTTTACTAAATCAATCTAATATTTTCCAAAAAACTTCCTTATATACTAATAAACAAATGTCTCACTGGAAGTTTTTTCAATTCGAAAGTTCACCGCAGACTTTTTGTCGACGAAGGTAAGTTAACCTAAAATTGACAAGCCTTTATTTACATTAACAAATTAGTGAACAATTAGGAAATTTTTACATTCTGATCATTTTATCGTCTTCCCAGAACGAAGATACGATGATTTATGTTTTAAAAAGCAATGAAATTTGAAAAACAAAATTTTACCATTTTTCGTCATTATTTCCGACAATATTCATCCTACGAAAAAAATTCAAAGGAAAAAAAGATGCGCTATTCAATTTCCTACAAGGTAGTGCTTCTGAAAAATCAAAATTTCAAATTTTAATTTTTGTGACTTTTCTTAATGTTTGACTGGCGTTAGAGTGTTCATCCGAGCGTCGGGCGAGTTCTTGAATTGGGAGGCTCAATTGAATATTAAAAGTATTAGAGCGTAAAGTTTTAGAAATAATTAAATTTTGAAAAGGTTTCAGATACAAATCTTTGAAAATTTGAATTTTTCATATTTTTAACTAACAATTCTGTGGAATTAATTTTTTTTTTTGAAAAAGTTTAATTGCTGATTTTTTTATATTATTTAAAGTTTTTATTTTCTAATATACATATTTATTTGAAGAATTTACAAATAATTGAAATTTCATAAAATTGAATATTGTAAACAAATGGATTTGAAAATTGTCAAAGAACTTTTTCGAAAATTATTAAAAATAATCGATTTTCAGAAGAATTTTAGTTAAAAATTCTTGAAAATAATAATTGAATTGATAATGATTTTATCACTCTATCTTTAATTATTATAAAACATGAAGTAATCGATTGCTTATCGATATCTTCATGTTATTTAGTTATGAAAAAATCTAATTTATAGTTTTAAGTAAAATGTACTCTTATATATTTTTGTCAGTAATTGGTCCGTAAATGGTCCGTAATTTTTCATTTTTGGTCCGTAAAGTCCGTATTTTTAAATACTTTCACTGGTTCGAGCCCTGCGCGTGATTATAATATATTATAATAATTACTAATAGTGGATGTTTATTAAATTACAACTTTTTAACGTTTCGAATTTTTCGTATCTAATTTTATTATTCTTTAAGCTTCTTAAAAAAATTAAAAACTAAATTTTTCATTTTTCACTATATAATTTAATAGTAATACCTTTTTTGACTTTATAAAAGTTTCATCAAGTATAGAAAAAATCAATTAAGAATGAAAACTTAATTCTTTTGGTTATATAAATTGTTTGATTAAAAATCCAAAACAATATTTATTTAACGTGATTATTTATTATATTATGTTTACAAACTTTATGTCAAATTTAAAAATATTAATTGTATTTTCAATAATACAGTGTTTTAAGTCGGTTGTTCAATAATAAAAAAATCATTTATAAAGATTTAAGATCTATCTAGAAGAAAAATTATAATTTTTTTTATTGGAATTAAATTGCTCATAATTTATTATTGTACAAAATTATGGCTATGTGGATTCTAAAATTTAAAAAATTTATATGGCTAAAAACAATCCATTTTTTTCATTTTGATAGTTGTTATTAGTAAATTACTAAAAAATGTTTATGTTTCATTTTTAAAAATTAGATGGCTGATAAAAAGTTATTGATAGTTTTTTAAAAAATAATAAGGAGAAAGGTGTCAATTTAACTTCTCAAAATTATGAGCCTGTTATTAAAAAACAAATTCTTATGAAAGATCTCATTTAAGTATTATTAACAATTACATTTCATTATCTCAATAAAACTTTCTAATGTAAAATATCGACAAAAAAGCTATTATATTTTCATGTTTTATGTTTATAGATCAAAATTTAAAAAAAATTTTGTAAATTCATATTTTTAGTATTTTTTTCTTTCAATTTTTTGGACAACAACATATATTCACTTAATTTTCTTACTTAAAAAACTAATTTTACTTCATTTTTAATATGCTACTTTTTTTCAATTTAGAGGACTCTTTTTTCTCCCAAAATGCTATACTTTTTCATTTTTTTCAAATATTTTGTTACAATTTTTGAAATTTTGAATTTTGAAAATAATTGGATTATCAAAAATGTTAATGAAAAATCTTTAAATGTAAATTAAAAATGAAAATTAATAAAAATTAGCTTTCCAGGCGCGAAAGACCAGTGCTGACGATGGGTTGAAACTTGACTGAGTCTTGAACGCCCAGCGTGGGTAACCCAGAGTTGAAGCAGTCTTTATAATATCATTGTCACTCAATATTGGTTCAGCATGGGACACCAATGTTCGTCCCATGCTCGATTCAAGACTCGGTCAATCTTCGTGAGTGGAGCTTCAACATCCAGTCTT